GTCAGTACGAGGGGGGAGGGGCAGTCTGAAAGGGCGAGGCACTGAAAAATTGAAACCCAGTACAAAATTAGAGGCTAGTGAGCTAAAAGTGAGTGCAGATCACATGATTTGACCCCTCCTTTTGAAACACTAGTGTGTGGTCTGCATGCCGTGGCATATTTAACTCCTCGGTATGCCTGGAATCACTGTCTCTTTCCGGCTCTTTTCCATGGAAAAATTTAATTGGGAATCAAGGAATGACTTGTGATGGGTGTCCTAATCCTTAGGGGGCGCTGTTAGGACGATCTCCTTAATTCTAACCTCTGAAATACAGGAGTAACAAAGACAAATAGGAGTTGGGTGAAGGACTTCCACCCCATTGCATCCGGTGAAGAACGTGACATTTACTAAGTGTGGTAATTTGAGCAGACCTGGATGGTCAGGAGGGGGGGCACTAAATTCAGCCTGCAGCATGTGCAAGATCTCGAGGTCTCAGCAGCTATGGAAGAGTGTAACCTGTCTGCTAAGGGACCCAACAAAGCATGCAGACCTCACCCTCTCCCTTCCTCATCTCATAGTCATTGTCACCATCGGCATCTTCTGCAATCAGTCATGGATCATCCGTGTCGTAGTCGTCCTCTACAGTCTTAATCAGACCATCGCCGTGATGGCCTTCACAGTGATGATCTTTTCTCGTCATCAACCCCAGCATCTTCGCCATCAGTCAGCTTCCGTTGTGGTAATAACTGTCACCAGCCATCGATCACCTTCGTCACCGTTCGCCGCCTCGGCCCAGGACCAGGGGAGCATTGGGTGTCCACTAGTCATATGTCAAGAGAATAAACGATGTACCAATGACTTCGGATATGTGTTTCTGTTGTAGACCTCCACAGTTTTCGAGTTGCCAATCAGACGGCACGAACCAGCCGCGGACAGCCAATCACCGCGCAGCGAATCAAGCACATTATTTCCAACTCTTCTGTCATTAGGGAGCTGTTGTTAGTACTATAACCATCATTCACTGGAAAAACATTCTATAAAACTGCCGTATTTGAGGTGTGATTTTCGGATGTTTGCTCACACTGGGTTGGCTTGGCTTTCTACAATTAGCAGTTTCTAATTTAAGTCTATGTAAGATGTCATACAAGTCACTGGGGGCAGGTAATTAGCACTAAGCACTGGGTGATGATCCGCCTTCTTTGAGCTGTGTGACAATATGGTTTTTTATCCCCTTAAAGAGCGAGTGACGGCACGTTTGGCCTTTCCGATTCGCCGATGATGCCTCGCCCCCATTTTTTGTGACGGCAGCAGGAAATGGTGGTGGGCGTAATCACCGCCAGCATTTGCCGATCCATAATTCTCTTTATCCCCTTGTGTTTTTCAGTCTGGACTGTGGGTGGTTTTTTATTTTATTTTTTTTCCTTAAGTCCTCGTTAAGCCTCTTAGCTCACATCTACGCCACGTTGCCTAAGTCAGTCGCCGGCACACAACAGGCAGAACTATTGCTGGTTGGAAAAAAAAAATAAAAAAATTACTCTATTCTTAAAACGGGGAAGTGTTCGACTGTCTGAGTAATGAACAGATTAGGCGGCAAATGGATTTAAAAGCTCGTCTGCAAGAAGGATTTCTGAATCCCGGCGCTCCTTTGTTACAAGATCATTCAGCGACTCCAGCCGCTAATTGCAGGCCGAGTGCTTCGGACGGTTAAGCAGAAAGAAGACAACGAGGTGGAATTTTTGCAACTTTAGTAATCGGACTCTGAAATAATTTATTATGTGGCCATTGATTGAACAGCTCAGAATAGTCCCTGTAAACCCTAGTGTGGTGCTTCAGGAGAAAATTACACCATTTATGTTACTCCTCATTTAAATTGGGGTGTACCAGCGATGTCCATCTGCACAGTGCAGGTTGTCCTATTAATTATGTACACAGATTTTCGGAATGTTAATTCTCCCACGGCTTTCCAAAACGGCGTGTCTGTGATCATTGAGATGCACTGACCTACGCCAGTCTGCTGTCCCCACGGAGATGGAGAGTGACTTTCATACTTATAGATACTTAAAAAAATACCGGGTTTTTTTGGACCCCAAGGAAATTTAACACAAACCTTGATTCTTAGAATGACTCCCCAAAGATGCTGGGAAACTGGCGACGCGAGGTTCTATCGCTTCTCTGTAGTCTCGCCAAGACGTCCTGCTCCATCCGAAAGAGCTTCTGATTACCGCAGCCTGTGGTCCTACTTCACCTGTAAATTGTAGGTTTCCCTGCACTCAAGGGGCTCCGCAAAAGGCAGCAAACCATCACAGCCGCCCTCTCCGATTTCTCTGGTGTTACCCCACATGTGAGGGCGTTTTTCCACCGCACCAGGTACCGTACTTTCGGTACTAACATAAAGTGCCGAAAGTTTGGTACTTCTTTCATGTTGGTTTTCCACTGGCGTAAAAAATGGTACCGGCACCAAATGACATCATCAGTGACCGCCCCTGACTGACAGCCCAAAATTAAAACTAACAGTTGAGGCTGGAAAATGCGGTCTATTGTTATGTCAGCTTCTATCAGTTTGATTCAGTACGTTTACGTAGGTACACTTACTTTGGCTAAGCCGATCAAAGCAGTAAGAATTAGCTTACTGCTAATTCAGTCTTTTGAAAGCAAACTAATTATTTAATTATGTTTTTTGATTTTGAAGCGGCATTGTTTGGTGTTTCGCGTGTGCCCCATTTCTTTCAAGCGGCTTGGTATTACGGTGTTCTGGGCAATTCAGTTTCCCTATATGTTTCTCCTGTCTATCAGGAAATAATGTTTCCCCTAATATTAAAGCAAAGAGGTATGTGAAATGTCTGAAAATCACTCAGGTACATTATTACATGTGAATACAGTAGATATATAATATAGTCTTATAAGCAATACTATACCGTTTTCATCAAGAAATACCTCTATCCAGCGAATTAAGTAATTTCATTTATTATCTGTAAAACAAAAAACATAGAAAAAGCATGTGATGTTTTAAATTTAATATATGGCTTGTTTACCTCAAGAGCTTCGTAAAAAGACATGAAAACAACAGCGAAACCGTGTACAAATCAGTGCGCGACAAGGGAAACATAGGAAAACTGAATTGCCCGGAACGGCAAAAACTTTTTTATTTCGAGTCGTGCCATCCAAATCCCACTGGATCTGTTCATCCGACCATATGGCGATTAAAGCCTGTTTCCTCGTTTGTCCATCCTTCCATTTCACTTTTTTATATTTTTGTTTCTACTGCTTTTTATTTTGTTTCTCGCTGTGATCGCTCTGTTCGCTGTGTGTTTCAAAAGATGGCGGTTGTATTTTGTGTTTCAGCGGCAGGCTATTTGCATAACCAATCGACAGCAAATACGTTTGCAAGTCCCACCCCGAAGTACCGAAGAAGTACCCCAACTGGTTTAGCACTTTCGGTACTTTAACTTTCGGTACTGGTACTCGACCGGAAGTCAATAGAAAAGCGAAAGTACCGTACTTTGTGCAGTGGAAAAGCGCCCTTAGTGCTCCGCATTCACGCTCGCCGTAATTCTCTTCTCCCTCCTAGGGCTTCGACCAGCTGAGGATAGAAGGACTCCTGTGTGACGTTACTCTGGTGGCGGGGGACGGAGATGAGGCCTTCCCCGTCCACCGGGCGATGATGGCGTCCTCCAGCGATTACTTCAAAGCCATGTTCACAGGTACAGCGGCTGCCCTCCGCTGGGCAGAGCAGAGCAGTGGAGAAGCAGCTACGATCAATAAGATTAAGATGCGCTTTATTGATCCTGGGGCAGAAGCTTCATGTGTACGGGAGCAATAACATACGGTGCCAAGCGGATAAGGTGCGACGATGGTAAACATAGTAAGACATAGTGCGAACTGATTTAAAAAGTATGCAGTTCAATCATAAAATATCCTGAAAAAAACAGAATATTATGATGCCACAGAAATAAATATTTAATTATTTTATTTAAAGATAAGAATGACAAATTAGCAATATTATATGTGCAATTAATAAACAGATATCACCAGACTTACTGTAATAAGATAGGATGCTTTCTGAAGTTTTATGGCTGGGGATGGGGAGGGCTAGGTTGGGAGGGGGGCAGAAATGATCCCCAGTAGCGTCTTTTAACACACTGTGGTAGAATGAGCCGGTGGCTAAATGTGCCCCAGGATAGCGCCCCCTGCAGTGAATGGGCAGAATTGTTCATAATATTGTTGAATTTTCCCCAACATCCTCTTCTCTGCTGCTTCCATCTTTAATCTCAACAGCCAATCATGGCTCAGATCGTCTCCCCTTGCCATGCTGACGTCCCCATACCCTTAACAAAGCCCTCATGTCATGAATCTCCAGTGGCTGCCCCCCCCCAGTTCCTCATTGTCCTCTTCCGTGAAGAACGTTTTATTGAGAAGCCACCTGCAGGTCTTCACCAGAGTGTCGGCTTTATTTCCGTCCCGTCCATAAAAACACACGACACGTTGCCAAAATAAGCCTTTCCATAAGAGGCTGTGGAATCTTCTAGACATTGTTTGGTGGATAATTAAATCTGGACTGACTGAACTGAAAAAGCAGGTTGACTTGCGTGTGTTGGTGTGTCACCGTGCTCTGGGTCTTTCAGGCAGGTCCAGCGACTTCCTGCATAGGCTCTTGTGTTGTCGAGAGGCAAAGCTTTGTCGTGGGCCGGGAGGCAAAAATAGACTGGGCTGCCCCCCCCCCCCCTGCCTCTCGTTGAGGGAACTGTTATGCCGAAGTTCTGGGGGCACGTGGACGGTGGGCGGGATGCAGATCTAATCTCAGAGTGTCTCATCAAGAGGGTATGGAGGTGGCTTTTGGCGAGAAGACACTCATTCACGTTTCTGTCCATCCATCTTCCCGCTGCTCATTCTCACCTGGGTCAGAGGGACACATTAATTAAAATATCGCACCCTGTGGTGTTTTTGTTGTTTTTTTCCAGTCCTCCCATACAGTCCATGCTGATGGCTGATTAGATGGCGGTGTGGGGCTCCCTTCATTTGGGTTGGAGTGGGGCATTACAGAAGGTTATGTCCCCCCTCCATTGAGAAGGATGGAAGATGTCCTAGTGACCTTCACACGTATGGTCAAGGCATTGCCACCTACATCAAGGCATCTATAAACTAGTTTTATGTGGTGTAGTGTGGCTCAGTGGGTTAAGATTCTGTGCCTGCATTCAGAATGTCGCCGGTTCAAATCCTAGGGTCAGCAGAGTGATTTCGCCGATGGGCCCGGGTGCGAGGCCCATAAACTCCTAGTTGCTCCAGGGACTCTAGCCTTACCCTCCTTTCTCTTGTATTGATGAGAGGAAGTCCTGCCTCTATGTGTTATTGGATAAAATTAATACCTGACAGGAAGTCCCGCCTCTATGTATTATTGGATAAAATTAATACCTGACAGGAAGTCCCGCCTCTATGTATTATTGGATAAAATTAATACCTGACAGGAAGTCCTGCCTCTCAGTGTTATAAATGTATTAATGTAATGTAAACATCACCTGCATTATTCCTCCCCCCTCTGCCAGGTGGAATGAAAGAGCAGGACCTGTCGTGCATCAAATTGCATGGCGTGAACCGGGTGGGCCTCAAGAAGATCATCGACTTCATCTACACGGCCAAGCTCTCGCTCAACATGGAGAACCTGCAGGACACGCTGGAGGCCGCCAGCTTCCTCCAGATCCTGCCGGTGCTCGACTTCTGCAAAGTCTTTCTCATCTCCGGGGTAGGGGTCCGAGCCGTCGCTTCTCCTCGCCCGCGGCGGTGGATCACAGCGCTTAGCGCTTCTCGTTGGCACCGCCGTGTTCCGAGACTCTTCTGTGGCAGGTGTACTTTCTGCAGTTCCTCCTCTCTTTTCTCACCATGGTGTCTCAAATCGCAGTGCTGGTGGGTTTTTTTTTTTTTTTTTCACAGATCTTAGGTTTGGCAGTCGGCGGTTTTCACGCGAAAAAAACGCGAAACGTTTTTGTCGGTCTTTGTGGCGTCATGAGCAGCATTTCTCAGCGGGATACTCACAGTTTTTCGGGTTCCTCCGCCAAGCAGACGGGTGAAATTTTGGTGTGTGTGTCCCCCCGCCCCACCCCCGTAGGTCTCCCTGGACAACTGCGTGGAAGTGGGGCGCATCGCCAACGCCTACAACCTCACCGAGGTTGACAAGTACATCAACAGCTTCATCCTGAGGAACTTCCCGTCGCTGTTGGGCACCGGCGAGTTCGTCAAGCTGCCCTTCGAGCGGCTGGCCTTCGTGCTCTCCAGCAACAGCCTGCGGCACTGCGGCGAACTGGAGATCTTCAAGGCGGCGTGCCGCTGGCTGCGCCACGAGGACGGCCGCATGGAGCAGGCGGCGCGCCTCATGCGCAACGTCCGCTTCCCGCTGATGAGCCCGCAGGAGCTCATCAACCACGTGCAGACGGTAGACTTCATGCGCACGGACAACACCTGCGTCAACCTGCTGCTCGAGGCCAGTAACTACCAGATGATGCCGTACATGCAGCCGGTGATGCAGTCGGAGCGCACGGCCATCCGCTCGGACAGCGCCCACCTGGTGACCCTGGGCGGCGTGCTGCGGCAACAGCTGGTGGTCAGCAAAGAGCTGCGGCTCTATGACGAGAAGGCGCGGCAGTGGAAGTCACTGGCACCCATGGACGCACCGCGATACCAGCATGGCATCGCAGTCATCGGCAACTTCCTCTACGTGGTGGGCGGCCAGAGCAACTACGACACCAAGGGCAAGACGGCGGTGGACACGGTGTTCCGCTACGACCCGCGCTACAACCGCTGGATCCAGGTCGCCTGCCTGAACGAGAAACGCACCTTCTTCCACCTGAGTGCCCTCAAGGGGCACCTCTACGCTGTGGGGGGGCGCAACGCCGCCGGGGAGCTGGGTGAGTGTATGTGGGGGGAGGGGGGGTAACCATATTTGGAACATGATTGGATTGATTTGGGTTGACGGAATAATATGATAGAGGGTCCCAGGTCAAGTGGATTTGGTCTGCGCTTGCTGGGTGGGGTGGTCATGGTCTTGGTTTGTTTTTGGGGACAACTTAGGAGAATGAGTTCATTGGATTGAATTACTCACTGACAAGAAGTCCCGCTTCTCAGTATTATTGGATAAAGTCAATAAATGACAGGAAGTCCTGCCTCTCAGTATTATCCAATAGTCAATAATTGACAGGAAGTCCTGCCACTCCATGTTATTGGATAAAGTCAATAACTGAC